CAGCTTCTGCGCCCCCCTTCTCCTTTTGTCTTCAATTTTTCCCAGCCTCGGGGTCTTTTCCAGTGAGTCAGCTCTTCACATCAGGTGGCTCAAGTGTTGACACTTCAGCACCAGTCCTTCCAATGAATATTCAGGGTGGATTTCCTTTAGAATTGACTGGTTTGATCTCCTTGCAGTCCAAGGGACTCTCAAGAGTCTTCTCTAGCACCACAGTTCGAAAGCATCCAGTCTTTGGTGCGCAGCGTTCCTTACAGTCTTCAAGGTGGGATGATCCTTATTCAGTAAAGCCAATCAGATCTTTTAAGTTTCCTCTGTTGAATTTTTGTTATCTAACAACAGTGATGGTCACCCACTTGCTGCTGCCTTCTTAGAGCAATATCTGGGGGGGTGGACTCCCTCCTTCCTTGAGGCTATGCAAGACGTGGGGGTCAGCCTTAGCTCCAAGACCTGGAGGGTTCCATCTGACCAATGCCTGATGAAGGGGTGGTGCTGTGCATGCATAGGCAAGCAGAGCTTAGGGGATCCAGGGATCTGGAACAGGGCAAGACTCTGGAGAGGACTTGTTGCAGGAGCTGGCTATTGGGGGAAAGAGGCATCTGCTTAATCCCAAACCCTGTGCTCTGCTATGCTTAGTAGCTCAGTTGTGTTCAACTCTTTTCGACCCCATGGACTGTAGCCCGCCAGGCTCTTCTGTCCATGGGGATTCTGCAGGCAAGAATACTGGAGTAGGTTGCCATTCCCTCCTTCAGGGGATCTTCCCAACCCAGGGATCCAACCCAGGTGTCCTGCACTGCAGGCAGATTCTTTACCATCTGAGACACCAGGGAAGCCCAAGAATACTGGAGTGGGTAGGCTATCCCTTCTCCAGGGACTCTGCCTGACCCAGGAATCAACCTGGGGTCTCCTGCATTGCAGGCGGATTCCTTACCAGTTGAGCTACCAGGGAAGCCCATCCCAAGCCTTAACACCTTCATATACATGTTTCCCCTTAAGGTAGAACTGTAGGAAACTGCACTGTCTTGTCAGGGCCAAGACGTCTACCTAATACCAAGTCATAACCCACCCATTGGTGCATATCTCCCTTGAACACAGAGTCAAAGAAATTGGACTTGCTTGCTCGGGCAGGCCCTAGCTGGACGGACTGGGTGTCCCCTCCAGACTCCTGGAGCCCGGGGCGCTGAGTAGCCTCAGATCACCTTGTGTGTCAATTGCAAATGGGATCAGACCATCACCATTTTGCAACTGCTGCTTCAGGGCAACTTACTGGGACTCCTTCTACCCTGGAGGATAGGCAGGTTTTGCAGCCCAGGCCTAGTTCGCTGACCTGGAAAACCATTATGAAGCGATGTATACTGCACATGTGCTTGTAGCTCAGGTCAGGGGGGGCCAAAGATCAGGAAGAGAGTAAAGGCTGGGAAAAGCCATCTCTTGTGGACTGTCGGGTGAATAAAGCATCTACCTAATTACACTTCCTTGGTCACTGAAGTCGAAGCCTTGGTAGGGTGACTTAAACTGTTCCATGTTTATTACAATTAGGTCCTGGATAAACAACCTGAAGGAAATCAACCCTGAACATTCATTGGAAGGACTGGTGCTGAAGCTGAAGCTCCGAAACTTTGGCCACCTGATACAAAGAGCCAACTCATTAGAAAAGACCCTGATGCTGGGAAAGATTGAAGGCAGAAGGAGAAGGGGACGACAGAGGACGAGATGGTTGGATGACATCACCAACTCAATGGACATGCATTTGAGCAAACTCCGGGAGATGGTCAAGGACAGGGAAGCCTGGTGAGCTGCAGTCCATGGGGTCACAAAAAGTTGGACACAACTTAGTGACTGAACAACAGACAGTCATGACGATAACGGATGGAGATGTTGTGAGCTATGCTTAGATAGGTAAAAGCCAAATTGAAAATTGAGCTCTATGTTGATTAATCCACCATAATGTTTTTCCTCATTGTCTCCTCTGTTTCCAAATTTTTTAATCTTTTTATATTTTTATTTTTATTTTTTTTTCAGATTTTTAAATATTTTTAAAAAAAATATTTATTTATTTTTGGCTGTACTGGGTCTTCGTTGCTTTGCATGAGCTTTCTCTAGTTTCAAGGAGTGGGGACTACTCTTCATTGTGGTGTGCAGGCTGCTCATTGTGGTGCCTTCTCTTGTTGCAGAGCATGGGTGCTGGGCATGTGGGTTTCAGTAGAAGTGGCACATGGGGCGTAGTTTCTCCCTGGCATGTGGAACCTTCCTGGACCAGGGATTGAACCTGTGTTCCCTGAATTGGCAAATGCATTCTGTCCACTGTGCCACCAGGAAAGTCCTTGTTTCCTGGTTTTCAGACATAGTTTTATTCATTTTTTTCTTGAATATCAAACTTACTATGCTTACTGTAGGAAAAAGAGACTCTTATTTATTAAAAGCTATGCAAATGCTCTCCAAACTCAGAAGATACAGTGAAGGTGACTGGGAAGACTGGAAAGACAGGAGACTGAGCACAAACCAGTGCAGCATGCTTTTGATCGGGGGACTCTGAGCAAACTCCTGGGCACTCCTAAGGATGAAACTCTTCTTCTACCCTCAATTCTTCTTTTGCTGGATCTTGTGAAACAGTGTGGGGGAGTGCAAAAGGCACCACCATATTGGGAGCAGGGCAGACCTAGTTTGAAACTCTGTTGCTATGGTGAGCATCTTGGTATAATTTTTAAAGCTTGCTGAACTTTTGCCTCCTCATCCATGGAGTGGGGGATAATAATACTTAATCTGCAGAGTTATTATGAGATTAGAAGGTGAGGATACTTGTCACGTGCCTGGTACTTTGCAGGTAGTGGGTTTAAAACAGAAGCAAGCGGATCCAATTTCCTGTCTAATATCAGAGTAGGCACTATTAGGATATTATACAGGGGCCTGGCAGTGAGATCTGTCGGGAGATTGACTGCCCTCTTTCCATCCTTAGTGCTTGGGCATGACAGTAGTATATCCTCTTCTACGCAAGGCTCACATGTAACCTATCACTTCATTACCCATCATCCCAGCAGCACTGAGGATGAGCTAGGAAGAATTTCCTTCTCCCTTCCACACTCCTCTCCTAGGCTCCGGGATTTGTATCTATTTTTCCCTCTGGACAGCACACCCTTCATGTTTAACTAAGACTGGTTGTTGTTTAGTTGTTCAGTCATGTCCGACTCTTTCATGACCCCATGGACTGTAGCCTGCCAGGCTCCTCTGTCCTTGGGATTTTCCAGACAAGAACACGGGAGTGAGTTGCCATTGCCTGCTGTAGGGGATCTTCCTGACCCAGGGATCAAACCCACATCTTCTGTATTGGCAGGTGGATTCCTTACTGCTAAACCAACTAAGCCTGGCTATTTATTGCCTGTTTAAATTTATGGCTTTTGCATGTGCTTTGGGGAGAAGAAGGCATCTGAGAGCCACAGTAGATGCTCCTAACCCCTTAATCCCAATAGATGCCTGATCTCAGTCCTCTTGCCTTGCATGTGGCTCTCGGCTCTGTCTTGGTCATATGTCAAACAGGGGTCACTCTTTTTTGCGCCCTTCTGGAAGGGAAGAAGAGTCCTGTTAAACACGTGCAGAACTAGCCCAAGAAGGTAAAGTGACCACATTAGAAAAACAGGGTGACTGTATTTTCAGAAACAGTATGAGGATCCAGGGGCAAAGTAGCTATTTAACCTTCATTTAAAAAAATTATTTATTTTTGACTGTGCTGGGTCTTCGTTACTGGCTGAGACTTTCTGTAGTTGCGACCAGCCATGGCTTCTCTTGTTACCGAGCATAGCTCTAGGGTGCATGGGCTTCAGTAGTTCTAGAACTCTAGAGTACAGCTAATAGCTGTGGCGTGTGGGCCTAGTTGCTCTGAGGCATGTGGGATCTTTCTGGATCAGGGATTGAACCCGAGGCTCCTGAATAGGCAGGCAGATCTTTTGCCACTGAGCCACCAGGGAAGCCCCTCAACCTTCATTTTTATTGAGAGATGAAGTCAAGTAACTCTGAGTATATAGAGGAGGAATCTGTTTTAGACAGTTCTAAGCTCAACATTCAGAAAACTAAGATCATGGCACCTGGTCCCATCACTTCATAGGAAATAGATGGGGAAACAGTGGAAACAGTGTCAGACTTTATTTTGGGGGGGCTCCAAAATCACTGCAGATGGTGATTGCAGCCATGAAATTAAAAGATGCTTACTCCTTGGAAGGAAAGTTATGACCAACCTAGACAGCATATTAAAAATCAGAGACATTACTTTGCCAAAAAAAGTCCGTTTAGTCAAGGCTATGGTTTTTCCAGTGGTCATGTATGGATGTGAGAGTTGGGCTGTGAAGAAAGCTGAGCACTGAAAAATTGGTGCTTTTGAACTATGGTGTTGGAGAAGACTCTTAAAAGTCCCTTGGACTTCAAGGAGATCCAACCAGTCCATCCTAAAGGAGATCAGTCCTGGGTGTTCATTGGAAGGACTGATGCTGAAGCTGAAACTCCAATACTTTGGCCACCTCATGCAAAGAGTTGACTCATTGGAAAAGACCCTGATGCTGGGAGGGGTTGGGGGCAAGAGAAGAAGGGGACAACAGAGGATGAGATGGCTGGATGGCATCACTGACTCAATGGGCATGAGTTTGAGTAAACTCCGGGAGTGTGTGATGGCCAGGGAGGCCTGGCGTGCTGTGATTCATGGGGTCGCAAAGAGTCGGACACGACTGAGCCACTGAACTGAACTGAACTGAGCTGAAGTGATGTCTACACTGTTTCTCACTAGGGCAACATCCCCCACCCCGCACAGGCCGGTTAACTCTCTGAGTTATACAAAATGACTTTTAAAATGATTGCTTAAATTTAACCTCAAAGATCTTTGCTATCTCTTGTCTTTATGGGTGGTGTAGGTTTCTTTCTGTAAGAAGCACTTCTGAAGTGGCAAAAAAAATACAACAGGATTTGAGAAAGTTTAGTAAAATTATAAATATTGCCTCCAATCTTCTCACTTTTTTTTATTAATCACTTGGTATTATCTTTAATTAAGTACAAAGACTTTTCCAATCACATCACATAGAGATCATTTTATCCACTGCTCTGTTTGGCTGCCAGTCTCTTGTCTCTCTCCTCAGCAATAGAAAGAAAGTGAAGTCACTCAATCATGTCCAACTCTTTGCGACCCCATGGACTGTAGCCCACCGGGCTCTTCCATCCATGGAGTTTTCTAGGCAAGAGTGCCGGAGTGCGTTGCCATTTCCTTCTCCAATGGTAAGGCGAATACCCTTTCCACGGGGAAGAGAGATCCACCGTTTGTTGCCTTTGCCAATAATGAAAATGTTCGAGAGCCATGTGGCAAAGCTGTTGCCATTCGCATCTTTCACATGAACTACGTCAAAAGAGCCTGGATGTCTTTCCTGATTGGTAATCACACCAATTCTTCCCAGGTTAGCACCTCCCATCATCATGCACAGGTTACCAGTGTCAAATTTGATGAAATCAGTAATCTTGCCAGTCCCCAAGTCAATTTGAATGGTGTCATTCACCTTGATGAGGGGATTGGGGTAATGGATGGTGCGAGCATCATGGGTCACCAGATGAGGGATTCCTTTTGTCCCCACAAAGATCTTTCTTACTTTGCACAATTTATACTTGGCCTCCTCAGGTATACTGAAAGGTTGCTGCTGAACCATGAAAGACACCTTGATTCTTGGTCTCCGGGGGAGAAGAATTCAATCCAGGGCCAGAGATGAGGCTTGATCGCTCAAAGCTTTTGTGTAATAGAATTTTATTAAAGTATAAAAGAAATAGAGAAAACTTCTGACATAGGCATCAGAAGGAGGCAGAAAGAGTGCCCCCTCACTAGTGTTAGCAATGGAGTTATATACTTTTTAATTACTTATTAAAATGAGTCAAAAGAATGTCTGGAGGCTGTAAAGACCTCACTAGACCCACTCCCATAATTTACATTTTAAGATAATGGGATTAGCCAGAAGGTTTTCTCCAGAGACTGTCCTCAAGCAGGATACATTATTGTTATATAATCCTAAGGAATATAGAGGGGAAAAAAAACACTTGTCCTTTCTTCCTCCCTGAGAATTCCAGACCCCTCTCTCCTTGGGGACCCCTGGACTTCTTATCAATGTGCCTAGGAATTGACTCTCTCAATACAATGAACAGCAAAGCAATCCTTGGTGTCATAGATCAAATGAAAATTCTCTCCAGTCTTATCAACGCTGATGACATTCATAAAAGCAGTAGGGTAGGTTGTATCAGTGCGGACTTTGCCTTTGATCTTAATGAAATGCTGCATGCAAATCTTCTTCATTTCATCTCCTGTTAGGGCATACTTAAATCTGCTCTTTAGGAAAATGATTAGGGGCAGACATTCTCTCAGCTTGTGGGAAGCGGTAGATGGACAAGGGGCAAACACACCAGTCAGTTTATCCAGCATCCAATGTTTTGAAGCTTCAATGTTCTGGAGGCCTGCCTTCTTCCCAACCTTCTCACTTTGCTCAACTATTTCCATATTATTTTTCCTCATGCATACACATATCTAATTTCAACCAATTTGAATATTATTTTGAAGTGTATATTAATTTTATACTATGAAGTCTTCTTCATATTTTATAGACTTTCTATTATAATTTTAATTTCTGTGTAATGTTCCATCTTGTTCATGTAAAGTTACTAAATCATTATCAGGCTGCTGCATCTATTTAGCTTTTCAACAGATATTTTCAGTGTATGATATATACTTGGGACTGTGCAAGGTCGACCTTTTAATGCTGTGGATGACTAGGCCAAAAGTGAATTTTTTCCGACAAATGCTTTGCATTAACAATCCAAAATGATTGTACTAGTATATCTTGTGACAAGCAGTACATGAGTTCATTAATTTTGCCCTGTGCTCACTAGCGTTAAGTGTTATCATTTTTTATGGTTTTTCTAAAAGCATCATTTCCCACAAAACCCTAAAATAATCAGGAGAAAGCAGCGTTTACTGCTCTGAAGTTGTCTGTTTTCAGGTCTTGCTTATGTGATGGCGATGAGGTTTTAATCAGGTAACTATGCTATCTTTTTCTTTTTCTTTCATGTAAGTGTTTTCAGTTGAGGGGAAATGTTCAGCTGTTGACTCAGATTCATATCAACCCTTTGCTTTAACACCTCCAACAAGTTCCTTGAAGACAGACCACATGAAGGCAGGGGTGAGCTGGTGGTGGGTATGGAAGTGGCGACATGAAGTTGCCCAGTGACTCAAAACAGACCAGACCCAACTCAGGGAGAGGCCACGTCTGGCACCTGATGTGTGGGCTTCCCCCCACCCCGGTCCTCCCACTCAGGCTGCTTCCTGCAGGAAGATCTTTGAAAGAAGCGGAAAGATTATTATATTCAATACTTATAAAAAAGCATGATAGACATGGCTGGCTTCTAAAAATTGCTGAGCTTAATAGAAAAGACTTTTGAAACCTTGCTTGGATCCAGAAATCCTCACTCTGTTGAGCAGCTGCTTCAAGATTTTAAAAAATGAATCTTCTCTTGTGGTTCTCTTCTTGCATTTATTCATGCATATTTATTCCCCAGTGTGTTTCAAAAAGGGTCTGGTGCACACTTCCTTTTCTGCAGAGGGAGAATGGAAATTTAAAAAAGAGTCAGGCTTCTGTCAAGCCAGGCAAGGCAGTGGGGAGCTCTGCTGAAGAGATATGGAGCTATGACTTCAGAGTATTGTGGGTAACAGTGAGAAATAGCAGAGAGCTGCAGGCAGATAAGCAGGCTCTTGATAAAGATCATATTAAAAAAAAAAAGACATTTCTTAAAGAGATTCTGGACATAGGTATCCCTCATTTTATTGTGCTTGACTTTATTGTGCTTTGCAAATACTGCAGCTTTTACAAATTGAAGATTTCCAGCTCCATGTTATGAAATGATGGTTAACATATTTTAGCAATAAACTGTTTTAAAATTAAGGTACGTACATTGCTTTTTTAGTTATTTTTAAAATTTTATTTATTTTTAAGTTGAAATATAGTTAATTTGGGCTTCCATGGTGGTTCAGATGGTAAAGAGTCTGCCTGCAATGCAGAAGATCCAGGTTCAATCCCTGGGTAGGAAAGCTCCCCTGGATAAAAGAACAGCAACCCACTCCAGTATTCTTATCTGGAGATTCCATGGACAGAGGAGCTTGGTAGGCAACTGTCCATGGGGTCACAAAGAGTCAGACATGACTGAGCGATTGACACATTTATAGTTGATTTTCATTGCTGTGTTAGTTTCAAGTGTATAGCAAAGGGATTCAATTATTTTTCAGATTCTTTACCATTATAAGTTATCATAAGATACTGAGTATAGCTCCCTGTGCTATTTAGTAGGTAAGGTATGTACATTGTTTTTTAAGACATAGTCCTCTTGCACACTTAATAGTCTTCAGTAAAGTGTAAACATAATGGGAAACCAAAAAAAAAAAAAAAAATGTGTGTGACTGGCTTTATTGCAATATTCACTTTTTTGTGGTAGTTGGACCAAACCCTCAGCATCTGTGAGGTATGCCTATATTTTGAAGTGGATGCAGTGATCAATTCCTACAGGAAGAAAATACAGGAAATGAGCATCATTCTACTTTTTAAAACAGGGAACTTAATTTGCAAGCTCAGGGAAAACTGTGAATGGGGTGTATTGCCTTTGTGCTGGCTCTTAAGGAAGTATGTGCTGTGCTAGAGAAGACTGTATGCCATTTGACTGAATGTTGTTGTTGTCAGATGTACCCAGACCTGCTGCAGCAAACAGTAACCCCTTCCAGCCCATGGGATGGTCTCTGTTTGAGGCACGGGGCTCTCTCCTTGACCTTGGCTTTTTCCTGTTCAAGAACATGACTTGACTGAGGAAAGAAACATTATACAATCCAGCAGATGGGACAAAGCTCAGAGGGACCTAGTAACAGTGATGGCAGGACAGAGATTTGAAAATAATTTTAGTGGCCTGGAATTAAAAACTGAAACTGAAACTACCATGATGAAGTGAAAAACTTCAAAGATTTTAAGAAAGTAATTGTTCAAATATAGAATGAGGACGGTTCCTGGGAAAAGATCTGGGAGTAATGAGATGCAGCAGCTAAAGAGATGATGGGGATTCAGAGACATGCAGCCTCTATATAAACTTGAAAACATTTGCCTGTGGACGCTGGTCCAGCATTCCTCGGCCTGAAGTCCCCTAGAATTTCCATCTGAGGAACTCAGAGGCAGCAGGGCAGTCAGAGCAGGCCCCCAGAAGGGTTAGAAGGCTTGAGAACAAAGAAAAAGCAAACAACCCCCCCACCCCCACCACACACAAACCCTACAAAAAGTAGGAGTATTTTTAAAAAGTGTGAAATATAAAGGGGGACTTGAGAGTTATTCTTAAATCTTGCAATAGATTTTATATAGAGGTGGGACTGACTAGTTTTAGGTGACATCTTATGCCAGAAGTAGTTCTCCAAACCTCCCTAATCCCATCTTCACCCACTCTGTTCCCATCAGTTCCTCTCACAAGGCTTCCCTAAGTGTCTGGAAAAAATATCAGCCCATCATCCTTTCTCCCATACTCCTTTCCCTGCAGTGTTTTTCTTCACAGCACATGTAAGCAACTGAATACTGATACTTACTTGTTTCTGGGTAGTTTTTGAGAGGCAGTAAGCCTTGGTGAATGATACTAGGCAGTAGAGTCTGACTTCCTGGTTCAGAGCCCAGTTTTGTTTCTTTCTAAGCATTTGACTTTAGGCCTGTTTGCTGACCTTTCTGAACTCCTCATCTCCTCCATCTCCTCATCTATAGATGGGAGATAGTGAGCTTCACAGGGTAAGCTTGTGCTCAGTTTCCCAGTCGAGTCTGACTCTTTGTGAACACATGGACTCTAGCCCGCCAGCCTCCTCTGACCATGGGGTTCTCCAGGCAAGAAGATGAGTGGGTTAGCATTTCCTCCTCCAGGGGATCTTCTGACCCAGGGATTGAAGCCACATCTCCTGCATCTCTTGCATTGCCGGCAGATTCTTTACCTCTTGAGCCATTGGAGAGGCCCCTCATAGGGTAGTTTTAAGCATTAAATGAGTGTTTTCCTGCAAAGAGCTTAGAAACATACCCACCTATGTCCTCAAACTCTGTTTTCTGTTCTTGTTTTTCATTATTACCACATAAAAATGCAAACCTCCAGAAAAGCAGGAACTCTGTTATGTTTTAGTCCTATGACAAAGTAGGTGCTCTCTAAAAATTTATTGAGCCAGTAAGCTTAATGTGTGGAAGTTTCAAGTATTTTGTTGTAAATGGGAAGGAACTTGCCCCAAATCAAAGCTCATTAAGATCAGAAAGGCTGTCTGGGTGGTAATGGATCCAGGCACCTGAGATATGGAAGGGTTGGTGGTTTTTGATTTGGGTGGAGTATGAAACATTTCTGCTTAGGGTAGGATGAAGGATCTGTAGTCTCTGAGTGGGGAAGTGATCTGATGATGAGACAAAGATCATCACTGACTTCATGCCAGATTTGGCTCCTGTGTGGGCTTTTGAGGTGGCCCAGTGGTGGAGAATCTGCCAGCCAAGTAGGAGATGCAGGAGATGTGGGTTCGATTCCTTGGGTTAGGAAGATGCTCTGTAGTAGGAAATGGCAACCCACTCCAGTATTCTTGCCTGGGAAATCCCATAGACAGAAGATCTTGGAGGGCTACAGTCCATGGGGTCACAGAGAGTCTGACATGACTGAGTGACTAAACAACAACAAGTGTTCCTTTGTGTGTAAATAACAGAAACAGACCCTGGGGCTTACAGCTCACTGGGAAGCTGGAGAAGCAGGCTTGGCAAACAGGAGGGGACCAGCTTGGTCCTGGTGGGTCCGGAGGCAGGGAGCACAAGATACTTTAATCATAATTCTGAGTGATATGTCTTCACTGGCTTTTGCAGTGTGAATGGGGTGGATGCTCTCCTATGAAGACCCGCAAAAGAGGAAATACCCCCAAGCAGGAAGTAGGTTGGTTGCTGGGGAGTATGGCCAACATCCCCTGTCCCAACCTGTTGAATATACATCTTACCGATGAGCTCTGGTGCTGGGAGGACAGTCTTGTTCTGCAGACCTGGGTCATGAAGAGAATTTGTGCTCAATCCCCAGCTAGCAGCCTCTCCTTTGCTATTTCTTCATCTGCCAGTCATCCCGCTTGGTAATGTCCAGTGTGTGTCTTCATGGACCACAGCTGATGCCTCACATGTGGTGACTTGGTGACTGTAACCTTAATGGTCTTGTAACACTAACAGTGCTTCCCTGGTGCTCAGTGATAAAGAATGTGCCGACAGAGCAGGAGATGTGGGTTTGATCCTTGGGTCAGGGAAATTCCCCTGGAGAAAGAAATGGAAACCCACTCCAGTATTCAAGCCTGGGAAATTCCATGGACAGAGGAGCCTGGCAGACTACAGTCCATGAGGTCACAAAAGAGTCAGACACGACTTATCGACTAAACAACAACAAACACTAACAGTAGTCCTATAATATTCAGAAAAATGATTGCTACCATGTCTGAGACTGCTCCAG